CTGGAAATTGCCTTTTCCTGCCGAACAGATTTTACGAAAATGGGCATAACTTCTTCGTCCGAACTCCGAATGAGGTGAAACGAAGTGCGTTAGGTAGCTAACTCAAAGGGCTTTCCATGGATATATTATTGGCCACCCAAATAATTTGTGTGCTAGGAGATATGACCCTCCAAAGTAGACCCTCGAAAAAGGCTTCACTTGGAAATTTCGGATTTTGATACGGTTGCTCTAAAATTTGGGTTAGACCCATTTCCCACTCAATTTGACCCCCTAAACAAGAATATGAAGTCGGATTTTCGAAAAACGAAACGGATCTTTTTATATACAGCTAAACAAGTTTCCGGTAACTTCCGAAGCACATTTTTAAGAACTTTTTGGGTCAAATTCAAATATAATCATTTCATTAAGTTCTCGACTCCAAACTCACATGTGAGGCTCTAGTTTCACTCTATCATTTTCCCGGTCGTTACACCTAGGCTTTTGGAACGTGACAATTTCTTTGCAGGTGCGGCTACTGCTGAGTCACCAACTTTGTTGGTGTAGCTGCCTCACCACAAGAGCGACATTGCTGAAGTGATCCATGCTCTATAGGAGTTGCTGGATTAGCAGTTGGACTAACTTTTCAAGTCTTGAATGAACTCTTGGGATTCATCCAGGGTCCTATAAACACAAACTTAATATGCTACCTAACAAGAAATGACATTCAAGACTCTAATAGAATCGATGAAACAAACAATGGAGGTCATCTCTACAAAATGTTGAATGAAGTCAACACTACCACCAAAAAACCTAAAAATCATCAAACAACCAAGCATCTCAAAATCAACCTGACCACTACGTGATCCAAACCAAAGGTCTGACTAGACTAAAATCAAATCTTCAGAGCTAATGGCGCCAATGAAATTCTTATCCAACCCCGTTTACCAAGAATGTTGATCGAGGTCAATCTTTTCAATACAAAAGCTCCAAAATGAAAAAAAACTCATCCGAAAATCTCCCTACCATTTCAAAAAGCATACCACCCATCTCAACATATCAAAAATACAACATAGAATTTACGAAAAGGAGCAAAATACTCAAAGCATACAAGGACATGAAAATGATCGAGAGGGTCATTACAATAGCCTTTTCGATTTATTGGTTAGCAAGGTATAGTTCTGCTCCTACTAGGACATATTGGAATGGGATTAAACACATATTGATGTATCTAAAAAAGACTACCGATATGAGCTTATTTTATCAAATAATTGCAGTTCTGATCTTATTAGTTATGCTGATGCAAGATGTATATCTAATCAACATAAACTTGATCTAAATTAGTCTACGTGTTTATATGTGGGGTACCGTCATATCTTTGATATCTACAAAGCGGTCTATTGTGGATACTTCATCAAATTATGATTAGATAATAGATATTCATGAAGCAAGCCAAGAATGAGCGTGGTTGAGGCCCATGATACATCTTATTAGAGAAAAATAGGTTGGAATATGACAAGCTACCCACAATTTTATATAAAAATAATGCAACATGCATAATACAACTAAAAGGAGGATTCATAAAAAGAGATAGATCGAAGAATATTTTGCCAAAAGCTTTCTACACATATGAGCTCCAAGAAAATGTTGATATCGACATGCAATAGATTCATTCGAGAGACACTGTGACTGATTTATTTACCAAGTCTCTACCAACTACAACTTTTGAGAAGATGGTGTACAAGATTGGGATGCGAAGATTCAAGTCTTTGGATTAATATTCTCATTAGAGGGAATTAATATGTGTTTTACTCTTTTTATCTTACGAAGTTTTGTCCCACTGAGGTTTTCTTGTAAGATTTTTAATGAGATAGGCTAAATACGGATTACTAGATATGTGTACTCTTTTTCCTTCATTAGAGTTTCTATTATTGTGTTTTTCGTGGCTAAGTGTTAACAATGCATATTATCTATCAATTAGACATTCAAGGAGAGTTTTATAAACGATAATGAATGTCTATCAACTTAAAGTGAATGTCTATCTTTCGAGAAAAATTAGGAACCTTAACTTAGAAATCAAATCAATTTTTTCCTATAAATAAAGAATTCTCTTCATTGTAAATCACCTATAAGAAGTTTTTATCTCTTCTCCTTATTATCTTCTTCTAATTGTATTGTAATTTCATAACAATAGGTAACTTTTTCCTTTTTGTTAAGTGATTTGTTTTTAGGAAAAATGGTTTGATATACCCCTCAACTTTGCTATTTAGTATTGATATACCACTCGTTATAAAAGTGACTCACATAGACCCCTATAGTTACAAAATTTGCTCACATATATCCCTTACAGTTACAAAAGTAACTCATATATACCCCAACCATTACAAAAGTGATAAAATTAATTTAAATTAATTCTTTGATTTTAATTTTTTTTTATAAGTCATGTGTTTGATCTTTTCCACACATAAATTATTCTTTGACTTCTTTGATTATTATTATTTGAGTTTCTTATTATTTTATTTTTTCTTCCATTCTTTAGTGTAAAAATAAGAGAAATAAAAAGAAAGGAGCGTGAATGAAAAATATAATATACATTTATCGATTTGGTTATTATCGGTTTAGGTTCGGTTATTAACCATAGACAAAAAAGAAAGAATTCATTCAAAACATGAAAAAAGTGATAACAATCCATTCAAAACAAAAAATAGTAGGAATGACTGACATTACAAAACTTTTGACCATTGAATTTACTATGAATAAAACTTCAAAATTCATTATCTTGGCCTAGAAGGAAGAGATAGTGACATTTTCAATCCCACAAAGAATTGTATAGACACTCATATACATGAAACCAATAAGATAAATGCTCTCACCTTGGACATTTTTGCTTTCATAAGTAAATTATAAATAAGTTTTGATGAAAACATCTATAAGATCTTTAAAATTATTTATAAAAATAATATATTATGTATGTTTAATAATAAAATATATGTATATAGTTAATTAGTTCGGTTCGGTTATTTCTTCGGTTTTTTCGAACAAAACCCTTACCAGCCCAAATGTTATCGATTTTTAAAAATCTAAAACCAAACCAAATCAAACCCAAATAAAATCGGTTTATTTAATCAATGAAGCTCAACGTGCTCCAATTGTGTGGAAACTTCTTTGCACTCTTTTTTGTTTCAACTTCAATAATTCTATTGGATATTTTTTCTGGATGAAGAATAAAGGCAGATAATAAAAGGGGTAATACTAATACAAAAAGAAGGGCATAGCGTATAAATAGCCTTTGATAAACAAACCCCAACGATAAGTATTTTGCATTTGCCGCCAAATATGGGGCCGACTACATACATCTCTTTAATCAAACAAACAAAAACTCAAAAATGTGTCATTGGATCCTTCAATTATTTCTTTTAACCTCTGAATCTCATTCTTCAGGTAATTAAGGCATAAACACATCTCTCAAGCAAATGAATAATTAATATATATATTCATGATCGTGTCTTATATATACTTAAATTTCTTAATAAGTTGTTGTTGCTGTAATATACACCACAAATATAATAAATATTACAGATGAAAATTACACCAACAATTGTGTCTTTTCTTGCATGTTTCATTTTAAAGAATTAACAGATTTTGTTGAAATAAGAAATTTATGGTTGTTAATTGATGTAACGAAACTAGATCCAGCAAAGAAATAATTCATGAATAATAAATGGTTGCAATTTATTAGTAGTATATCTATGTTCACTTTCTTGTTTTCTTTTTTTCAGTTGGGATTAGTTCCATCATGTTGAACAGCAATTTAAGTTGCATAATATATTGACAATATTTATGTCCTGCCAGGCAAATTAAAGACATGTATTTGGTATAAAACTTGCAAGAATAATGAAAGGGACTTCCTTTGTTTGGGATAATTGAATGATCTATCACGTGAGGTAACAAGCCCTTCCGTTATCGCGGTTGCCATTTTTGGCAAAACTATGATCGTAGTTGGTTATGATTCGTGGAGGAAAATAAGGCATTCTGTAATTAATTAGCTGCAAAATCAGGGAATTGTATGGCTGGAAAACCTTGTATGGATGGTGCAGTACTCCTGCATGGAGAACTGGATGTGCAGATTATAGAAGCCAAGTCACTTCCAAACATGGACATGGCATGCTGTTCAAAGTTTAGCCCATTTGGATCTACGCGAAAGGTTAAGAACAAGGATCCAGGGAAATCAGGAACTCGTAAAATAATAGATACTAGTGACCCTTATGTGTCTGTTGTTATAGGTGGGGCAAAAGTAGCTCGAACAACAGTGATTCGCAATGATGAAAACCCATCATGGAATGAGCATGTTCGTATACCAGTTGCTCACACTGTTGACAAAGTTGAGTTTTTTGTCAAGGATAATGATGGGGTAGGAGCTGAACTGATTGGAAAGGTGGAGATACCAGCTGATAAAATTCTTGCAGGTAAAGAAATAAGTAGTTGGTTCCCCATTCTTGGACATTCCGGGGATCCTCTGAAAACTGGTGCTCAATTGCATCTGTCAATCCAATACAAGCCAGTTGCGGAGAATCCTTTATATAGAAATGGTGTTGGACGTGATGCGAATAGTGTAGGAGTACCTCATACCTATTTTCCACTACGAAGAGGTGGAAATGTTACTCTTTATCAGGATGCTCATGTGCCTGATGCAACACTTCCAAAAATTTTGCTAGATGATGGGAAGGTTTTTAGTCATAACAAATGCTGGGAAGATATATGTCATGCCATGCTGGAGGCTAAGTATCTAATATATGTTGTTGGTTGGTCTGTATATCATCCTATACGGCTAGTAAGAGAACCTACAAGGCCGTTGCCTTCGGCAGGGGAAAGAACACTAGGAGATTTGCTCAAGTACAAGTCGCAAGAAGGAGTTCGTGTGATTTTGCTCATTTGGGATGATAAAACTTCAAATGATGATCTCTTCCTCAAAACGGTAATATAATGGACTATACAAAACTGTTAATGGGATTTCTAATGACAATCCTTTCGCAGTCGCTATTTGGTAAGCATCATAATATTGGTCTAATTGTCTTATGAGCTCGAATGCAGGAAGGTGTAATGCAGACTCACGACGAAGAGACCAGAAAGTTTTTTAAACACTCAAGTGTACACTGTGTGCTTTGTCCTCGTTCCGCCAGCAGTAAGCTTAGTATTCTCAAGAGACAGGTTTATACTTTTTTTTAAAATTCTTAGGGGAAAGTAGAGGGGAACATATATGCCAGATGAATTCTAATTGCATGATTATTTAATATTTGAAAAAGTTGTAAAGTTTGAACAAGCAAGTAGTTTTACTATCTTCTAGCATAATTCAGCCAAGGGGATCTGTTGATCAAAGGATCACTTGATTTCATTGGTTAATCAAAGGATCACTTGATTCTGCAGATTGTTGGAAACCTTTTTACACATCATCAGAAATGTGTGCTTGTTGACACAGCAGCACCTCAGAATGAACGGAAAATCACTGCTTTTGTTGGTGGCCTGGATCTATGTGACGGCCGCTATGATACTCCTGAGCATAGATTGTTTAGCGATCTCGATACTGTCTTTGGAAATGATGTTCATAATCCTACATTCACAGTAAGCTATTAATTTGGATATCTTGAAGTTTCTGTGATGAAGTTTTATTCAAGACATCAGAGTACTTCAGAAACCTAAAATGTTTCTATATGAAATAGTTTACAAGGAACAGTAGGTGGATCTAGGATTTAAATTCTATGGGTTCAATGTTTAAGGTTCTTATATTTTTACTACCATCATCGAGAAACACAGTATTTTTTACGTTCTTGTCTGGATATTGAATTATCTTTTCTTTCATATACCCTTCTGGTATGGTAGATGTATCATTGTATCTCTTACATATATACAGACTACTTCAGGTGGCCCAAGAGAACCATGGCATGATCTACACTGTAAAATTGATGGACCTGCTGCTTATGATGTTTTAACAAACTTTGAGCAAAGATTTAACAAGGCTATGAAATGGCTCAAACTAAGAAAAGTCAAACAAGGGTCTGATACATTGCTTAAGTTAGATCGAATAGCAGCAATTCGTATGCCTTCCGCCGGGCCAGATGGTGACCTTGCGGTCCGTGTCACAAATGAACAAGATCCTGAGAGTTGGAATGTGCAGGTATTAGACATATTTCTTATTTTATGATGTTGCTTCTCTGTCAATCATTAAAAGTTCGCTGTAACCATTTCTTGTGCGCACTCTTTCCAGGTATTTAGATCAATTGATTCAGGATCAGTAAAAGGATTTCCAAAAGACATTAAGGAAGCAGAGGCACAGGTATAATAACTAAACATTTTGGAAACCTGAGTTCTGTATATTCCTAGTTTCAGATAGTTCTGGCTGGTAGATGCTGTGTGCAAAATCAAGTCAGAAAGTGAAAGTTGAACATGTTTCCATTTGCAGAATCTTGTCAGTGGAAAAAACTTGAAGATAGAAAGAAGCATACATTTGGCTTATGTGAAAGCAATTCGATCTGCCCAGCACTTTGTATACGTCGAGAATCAGTATTTTCTTGGATCTTCTTATAGCTGGCCATCATACCGCAATGCAGGTATGCAAGTGTTCTCAACTCAATTTCAACTATTGCTCATTAAAAATTCTAGCTGATAGCTAGTCTAACTTAGACCCCTTTCTCATTTCTACTTTTGCTAGTGATTACAACAAGCTTAATCATGCATATAGACAGCTGAATGTTTAAGTTGCATTAAGGTGTGTAGAAGACAAGGTGTGGATAATAACTTGTGTGTTATTCCATTATGTAAGATGCATATATACAGATACAATATGCTCTAATTAACGAAACTACATAAGGAAAGAATCGAAATATATTCTACATATCCCTACATATTTGTTGCTATGTACACTACACCCAAAGGTGTCTACATTCATTATGTAACACCCCCACCTCAAGGTGGAGCATAAATGTTAGTCATGCCCAGCTTGTTACAAAGGTAATCAACTCGAGTCCCATTCAATGCTTTTGTGAACAAATCAGCTAGTTGCTCTCCTGTCTTCACATAGCCGGTGGAAATTAGGCTTTCCTGAATCTTCTCATGAATAAAATGTCAGTTAACATCAATATGTTTAGTTCTTTCATGATACACTGGATTCGAGGTAATATGGAGAGCAACTTAATTATCACACCAGAGTTTTGTTGGTATATGATACTTTAACCCAATTTCAGTTAAAAGATGATGTATCCACATAATTTCACACGTAGGCTGTGTCATAGCTCTATATTGAGATTCTGCACTGGATCGAGATACAACACTTTGCTTCTCACTCCTCCATGATACCAAGTTCCCTCCAACAAAGACACAATAGCATGTAGTAGATCTTCTATCAATTTTGGATCCAACCCAATCGACATTTGCAAATCACTCGATACGATTATGATTGTGATTGCTATATAATATGCCAAGTCCAAGCACTCCTTTCAAGTAACATAGAATCTGTTCCAAAGCTGTCTAGTGTTTGATCATAGGTGCATACATGAACTGACTAACAACACTTACTGCAAAAGCAATATATGGACGAGTCACAGTAAGGTAGTTTAACTTTCCAACTAACCTTCTGTGTCTCTCTAGATCATCAAAATGATCGTCATTATCTTTCCTAAAATGAACATTAGGAACCATTGGAGTACTACAAGTTTTGGCTGCCAACATTCCAGTGTCTGGAAGCAGGTCAAGAATATACTTTCTCGAAGATAGAAAATTTCCCTTCTTGCTTCTATTCACTTCTACTCCCAAAAAGTACTTCAACTGGACCAAGTCCTTTGTAACCTAGTGTGCAGGAAAGATTTTGAGGGAAGAGATCCCAAAATAATCACTTCTTGTGATGACAATGTCATCAACATATACAACAAGGAGGATAATGCCAATTGTTGATTGCCGATAGAAGACTGAGCGATCACATTTGCTCATTTTCAGCCCAAAATCCTGAACTACCTCACTTAACTTGCCAAACCAAGATCGGTGACTCTATTTCAAACCATACAAAGACTTTTTCATATGACAGATTTTTCAACACTCCCCCTGGGCAACAAAATCGGGTGGTTGCTCCATATACACTTCCTCTTGAAGATCACCATGAAGAAATGCATATTTGATAACTAACTGATGTATATGCCAATTCTCTGAAGAAGCTAGAGAAATGAACAAGCGAACAGGAGTAAGTTTGGCCACACGAGAAAAGGTGTTTGAATAATCCACCCCATAAGTATGAACATAACCTTTAGCCACAAGTCTGGCCTTAAGTCTTGCCACTCAACCATCTAGATTCACTTTAACTGTCAATACCCACTTACATCCCACTAGTTTCTTTCCGTTAGGTAGATCCACCAAATTCCATGTGTGATTTTCCTCTAAGGCATGTATTTCCTCAAGCATCGCATTAGACCATCCAGGATGATTCAAAGCCTCCTTCACTATTTTGGGTACAAAGATGGAGTCTAGGGAAGCAATCAAAGATCTAGATGAAGAGGATAAGTGATCATAGGAAACGAAATCAACAATAAAATATATGGATTTGCAAGTCCTTGTATCTTTGCAAAGAGCAATAGAAAGGTCAAGAGTTTCCCGAGGATGAGGTGGAGGAAGATCTAAAGGACATGAATCATTATTCTCTTGACTCCTTAAGTAAACTTGAGTAATTGGCAGCCTGGCTATCATAGATGGAGCAGGTAATGAAGCACAGTACATGATTAGTGCTCAATAGAAGGACCGAAAGATGGATGAACACTATCATTTGGTGGTACCGTCGAAACACGGGTAACTTGATAGACTAACCATTCATCTTCCTCCCCTCACTTGTAGAATTAAGAGGTGCATTGAAGAATGTTGTAGTCTCTGAAAACACCACATCATTAGATACCAAATATCTTCCAAATTCAGTAGAATAATATAGATAACCTTTCTAGAGATGAGAATAGCCTAGAAAAACACACTTTAGTGCTTTGGGATCCAACTTTGTAACAGATGATCGAACATCTCAAAATAACATGTGCTTCCAAACACCTTAGATTCAATTGGAAATATTGACTTGTTTGGAAAAAGAACACTGTAGGGGATATTACCACACTAGATGGCATATGATTGATTAGAAAACAAGTTGTAGAAACCACAGCTGCCCAAAACTGTTTAGGAACTTTTATTTGAAACAAAAGTGCCCGAGCTGTCTCAAGTAGATGTTTATTCTTCCTCTCAGCAACTCCGTTTTGAGAAGGCGTATCGACACATGAAGGCTGATGAAGATTACCATGTTTTCTCATGTATGACTGAAACAATTCTAACATGTATTCTTTGGCATTGTTACTTCTCAAAATACGTACATAAGCATTGAATTGAGTTTTGATTTCAGCATAGAAGGCACAAAAATGAGTGAACACTTCAACGACCCTTCATAAAATAAAACCAAGTCATTCAAGAGAAATCATCCACAACAGTGACAAAATAGTTGTGCCCAGTTTTGGAGACAACCAGACATGGTCCCCAAACATCAAAGTGAACTAACTCAAAAGCGGACTCAGCCAACTTACTAACCCTTGGACCTACTGAGCTGCAATGATGTTTTGTAAATCGACATGGCTCACATTCCAATGAAGAAATGTTCTGAAGCTAAGGACAAACCTTTTTCAACAAAGGTAAAGAAGGATATCCCAATTGACAATATGCTTCAAATGGAGACACGATACCAAAACGTGCAACCAATTGAGGTTCATATTCATCAAGGATGTAGAGAACATCATCTATATGTTCTGTACCAATAACTTGATTTGTTGTAAGATCACAAAACATACAATGATTTGGAAAGAATGAGATATAACAATTGAGGTCTTTAGTAAGTCTACTGAAAGATATCAAATTAAGGGTTCGGTAAACTCAATATAGATGACAGAGTAATGGAAGAGGTTGTCTTAACCGTCCCAGATCCGACAATATTACAAGTTGAACCATCAGCTACCTTAACAGGATAACATGTTTTATGTGATTGAAAGGTAGAAAATATTTTAGAATTTCCTGTCATATGATCAATGGCACCCGAATCAATAACCCGCTTATTTAAGAGGAGACAAGACAAGTTTTACTTGACTCAGAAAGGATAGTAACTGAAATAGATTCAGTTACTGATTTCTGATATTGCAAGAACTTATCAAACTCCTCCATTAAAACCAAAATTGTTTGACCAGATAATTGACCAGATGTAATGACAAGATCAAGATTAACTGCTTGAGTCATTTTCCAACTAAATGATATTACGTGGTAAAATAACAATATCTTTAAATAAATAAAGTTGGACCACCAGAAGTTAATAACCAGCAGATTAATCCCAGAGGTCAAAGAACAATCACTTAGCTTAAAAATGAAATTTGAAAGCACACTACCACCCACTTGATAAATTCAATGTGCAAACAAGATTGACGAGTTGAAAAGGAGAACAAATCTGACACCGAACTCTTAACGATAAAACAGAAGCTTCCCCAAGAATGTTATCAAGCAGCCTAATAACAGAGAAAATAAACTGATTGAAATTAAAGAACCTAGGAAGAATTTGGGACCGTCAAAGCTTTCACAAATCGAGATTACCGAAACAGATACTATCAGGTCCTGGTAAGAAATGTCGCGACTGTGCCCAAAACGAAATCAGATCCAATTTCCGGATTGTTGGAAAATCAGACCCACACGTGCCACCTCAGCAAATTGCTGGAAAATCTATTACCGATGCATGAGACTCCGTCTCTTCCTCGCTGACCACAAAAAAATTGTATATTTTTAAATTTATTTTGCTAATCTGGGAAGACAATCCACCCTAGGTAGAAGGTGACCACTTAATCACAACTTGCAAATGCCCCAAAGTGCCTCCGGTGAATATTCCAATTAACACCGGCAAACAGATCTACCATGACTCTGATACCACGTAGAAGACAAGGTGTGGAGAATAACTTGTGTATTATTCCATTATGTAAGATGCATATATACAGATACAATGAGCTCTAATTAAGGAAACTAAATAAGAAAAGAATCAAAATATATTCTATCTTATCCCTACATATTTGTTGCTATGTACACTACACCCAAAGTTGTCTACATTCATTATGTAACAGAAAAATTATATTGATAGAGCCGAGCCGGCAATATAAATCTGTCATATTCTTTTTCAAACTAGGTTGTTCACAAGCATGACAAGAGTTTGTTATATACTAGTAACGAAAAAAGGTATTATATGTCCGTGTAGGGGATAAATGTGAGATTTAAAGAACCACTAGTTTTAGAAAAACACATAATTTTCCTTGAAATAAAGTTTTTTGGGTATAGAACCAAGGGGATTTGGAGCAGAATGTATATAAAGGCTTCACATTGCCGATTCCAGCTAGTTTGGGATTGTCTATTGACTGTTAGAAGAAAGGTAAGAGTTTGTCAACAAATTAACAGAAAACTTGTAGCTTTGAAGTATAAGTGGAAAGAAATAAATGTTGAAGGGAAGTTCTAACTTGACTAACAAGTTTTAGGTACTTCTGCGTATTTAAGGATGTCTTGTCAAAACTCATACTTGTATACGCATCCAATGTTATGTAAGACATGTGGTGAGGAAATTCTTATGTTCTGTAAATGAAAATGCAATGCATAATTTTTAAGGAAAGCAATATCTAATGAAGCAAGATAAGGAAGCTGATATACATCTGTACATACTTAAACTGGTGCCCCTAGCACTCAAAAATTGGCACAAGTATGACAAATGCATGAGCATGTGCATGACGAGTTCTCGAATAAAGGAGATTAGTGACATACTGGAGAAGTCTTTGCATGTAGAGGTCTTTTACAAGTATAACAGACGTAGACATTTGATGATATGTACGATAATGAGGCAGAAATATTTCCAAAATGCTATACAAATGATGAGCAGGAGTTCCAAAAGCCAACTACAAACTAAGAGCTTTTAACAATAGATTCAAATTTTCAAATACAATCCATAGTTAAGTTGCAAATAAATGAACATTTTAGAATATTTAACAAGAAAAAATGAATTTCATAGCTTACTTAAATGCAATATATAACATTCGGTACTATATCTTTCTAACAGGAGCTAATAATCTAGTCCCTATGGAAATTGCTCTGAAAATTGCAAGAAAAATCGCAGCAAATGAACCTTTTGCAGCATACATTGTGGTTCCAATGTGGCCTGAAGGTGTCCCAACCAGTAAAGCAGTGCAAGAAATTCTCTTCTGGCAGGTTTGAATGAACTATACTTATTTGTTTTATGAAAAAATTTCCTCCTCTAGTTTGCATATCGACAATTTACGTTACCTACTGATATTCATATTTAGGTATGAAAGTTGATTCATGGATAAAAAGCTACAAAGAGACAGTATTACATGAAATGTTTTTTAGCTCAAAGCTCTACCTTGGTTGTCTAATGGTCATGCCGAACTGATAGTACATAAATCATAATGCCTCATCAATTCTGATTTTTATCTAATAAAATTGTTATTCTGGAATTGCAATGATTACAGAGCCAAACAATGTCTATGATGTACAAAGTTGTGGCAGAGGCTCTTGAAAAGGCAGGCCTTTCTCAGTATTTTCATCCTCAGGATTACTTGAACTTCTACTGCCTAGGGAAACGTGAAGTAAAGCCTGTAAATCAGAAAACTAGTGCACATAACCAGGACCGTTTACTGGTACAGTTATGCTTAAATTACATGGACTATTAATATATCGATAATAAATGTCGCATCCTTGTAGTAAGTATAGAACAATAACAATGTCTCTTATTTATTTGCTATGATCCTTGGGATCTTGAGGTCAACAATGACCTTGTAAATTAGCAGTTTCTACCATTGAACCGGAGCGTTTGAGAAGGTAAGAAATTGTAACATTTTAGTACACCTGACTTTACAGGGATTGGCTCAAAAGTTTGGGAGATTTATGATCTATGTACACTCAAAAGGAATGATAGTAGATGATGAATATGTCTTGATGGGTTCCGCAAATATCAATCAAAGATCTTTGAGTGGTTCAAGGGACACAGAAATTGCTATGGGAGCTTATCAACCAAATTACACATGGGCAAGAAAGGATCGCCATCCAAATGGCCAGGTTTGGGATACAATTTATTTCTTTCACTACAAATACCATACACATCCGAAGAACGCTATAGTTGATAAGTATTTTGAACTAATAGCATGTAGTACACTAGTTGGATGACTAAACTAGTCGAATTAATTGTTTTTAAGTATAGTAACTGAGCATGTTAAGGGGCTAATGAGAAACGAGAGCTTCATATATATGAGCATGAGTTAATTTCTATACACTTACCAGTATGAAACAAATTATGCTATCATGCCATTTAAAAGATAACTAGAGGCAATAACATAATGAGTGAAATTAGTAACTGCAAAACAAAGGCAAGTTAAATTGCACTTATAAGTGAAATTTTAGGACTATAACCACAAAGTGAATGGAAACATATTCCAGGTGTATGGTTATCGGATGTCTCTGTGGTCTGAGCATCTTGGATCAGTGGAGAACACATTCATGGAGCCTCAGACCGTGGAATGTGTTAGACGCGTAAATGAGATGGCTAGATACAACTGGAATGCATTTTCAGGAGATGAGTACAAGAAGATGAAAGGGCACTTGATGCAATATCCAATTCAGGTTAGCAAAAATGGAGAAGTCACAAATCTGCCTGGCTTTGAATGCTTCCCTGATGTGGGTGGTAAGATTCTAGGGGCACCCACAAATCTTCCTGATGCTCTTACCACTTAACACGCACACATTATCAAATGTGTTGTGCTTAGTCAGGCCAGTGAGATTCGGATACCGGATGCCTAAAAACAAAAATAGAAATAATGCATTATGCTTTTGGACTTTTTACAATAGAAGCTAAGCAAGGAAGATATATAAGAGAACTTCAAATACAAGTCATTGAAGTTATCTATTAATTTTGGTTGAATGATTAATATGAAGAGATTGTTTATCAGAAACTTTATGTACAAATTTGTACAAATTTACTTCTTTCTTAAACAGCACAAAATGTTTCCATAAAATATAATGTTTCTTTTGTTTCCTACAAATTTGTACAATGTGCATGCTAGGTGTTAAGAAAATGTTGACAAATCCTTCTAAAACTTTGTAGAGTTGATGTAATATTAAGCTCTTCTTTTACCATTAGGAACATCATCCTATCAATTATACTACTCCATCCATTCCATATTAGTTGATCATTATAATAAAAATAGTTATCTCATATTAGTTGTCCGTCTAACTAAATCAAGAAAGCATTAATTATTATTTTTATATTACTCTTGCAATTAATTTTTTCGACAGTGTTCACATTTGTTTGTAAAATTTCCAAGAAGGTTTTTAGGGGTGAATTAGTAAAATAATCTTCTTGTTTATGATTTCTTAAGCATTGTGAAAAATAAAAAGTGATAAACTAGTATGGGATGGAGGAGTAGGAATTAAGTGAATAAATGACCAACAAATTAATCATAAATAAATCACTAATCATCATATATTATTAAGAATGAGAAGCTCCAAAATGGAAAGTTATTCATTTACAGAAGTGACCGCTTTCTAGTGTAGTTGGTACCGCCCTTGTTCACTTGAGTATGCAAGGAATACCTTCGATGGAATTTGATTTTTCCTAAATATATCCTAACTTTGTCTTCTGATGATCGATTCAACCTTGATCAAAAAGAGATTATGAAAATACTGTTTTTGCCCTTCAATTAAGCACAATTTTTGTAATATTTTTGTCCAAAAATATAAATATACATATGAATCAAATAAAAAAAAATTAAAAATAAAAAGTTACTTTATGAAAAATGCGGAACATTAAGATGGTTAGATTAGAGAGACTTTTGAATTTCCAAGAACCATATAAGCTTAATTACAACAATTAATTTGTTGAGTAATGGTAAATGACTGTTCTGTTTTATCACATTCAAAATCGTAACATTACAAATTATAATTATTAATCACTTATTAAACAAACAGAATTGGTATAAATGTAATGACATATTCCTTTAGTCCAAGGAAGACTAACCATACCTATTTATATGTCGTTATTACTAAAAATAAATATTTCTTAATACTTGTCATTTCACAAAAATCAATGCATGAATGACATTATTTTTCTGATTTTACCCTTGAGAGTTCTTAACCTTGAAAATATGTATTTGACCAACATAGAAAAACTAAGTAAACAATTCATGTCCATTGGTCAAATTTATTCATGTTCATTGATTGAAAACATGACTTTAAGAGAACACTAAATAAGGGTACAATGATAAACTTACTTTGTTTCTTTTAAAATGTGGACATATAAATAGAAACAAAGGGAGTATATGTATGTTGGGTTTAAGCAATGTGTGAATGAGAAATAAGAATGAATCAGAAATTAGGAAATGTGGGGGAACCAATTTGGAGGAAATATGAAAAGTAATTTCTCTCATATTGGTAGAAGAAAGGAAAAAAATTATTCTTATATTAGGAAATACTTCCTTTATCTCTTAATAGATTAACTAGAAGGTGACCCCCTCGCGCCTTCGTCGCTCGCTCGCTCGGCCTCGGCTCTGACAAATGATTGACTTCCGAACATACACCTATTTTCCCAAAAGATACAAACGTTCTGAACAAACATAGGTGCGCGCACACTTGCTGTTCAAACTTGCTGCAATTGGCAATAAATAGCGAGACTTCTCTCATTTCAAACACTAAAATTTTTCTCTCTTCTACATACATTTTCTTACAAATAAAATTATCGATCAACTGAGTCTCTGTGTGTGCTCTCATTACTAATTTTTGAGTTCGCTGAAATTATTAAAGTTTGAGGTACTACTACTTCTTTAGTAGTTAATCGGTTTTATCTTGGGAGGAATAAATCTTCAACCTCGGGTACTTGAGGGATTAAATTTCTTAAGGATACACAGTGGGTTCTGTGGACTCGGATTATTTATTTTCTGTCTTTCTATTTCATCTTTTTTGTCTTACTAACCTGAATATAGGAGCTAACGAGCTTAAGAAATTTAATATATATTTGTTTCTGTATTTGAGGTTTCTGGAGATTAAAACCTCTCTGGTTGTCTACTCTGTTTGAATTTAAGATTCATTTGATTATTCATTATAAAACTATAAGAACTTCATCGTTAAATCAGAAACAGGTTGTATAAAAATTTATTCTTTATTGTTAGTATTTCATATACTAAATTGCCTGCCATTTGTGACAGAAAAATGACTAATTAAAGTCAAGTTAATGTTGGAACAATGAGTGTTACAGCAACATCGGTTGCACACAATAGTTCAACTGCCGCTCTTGCACCGACTGAGAAACTTGAAAAGTTTTCTGGAGTCAACTTCAAGAGATGACAACAAAAGATGTTCTTCTATCTGACTACGTTGAGTCTGCAGAGGTTCATTGGTGAAAATGTTCCTATTCTGTCGGATGAAACTCCGAATGAAGAACGATTCTTGGTAACAGAAACATGGAAGCACTTAGATTTTTTGTGCAAAAACTCTATTCTGAGTGGCCTGCAAGATGATTTGTACAATGTGTACAGTAATATGAAGACCACAAAAGAATTCTGGGATGCTTTTGAAAAGATGTACAAAACAGAGGATGCTGAATGAAGAAGTTCATTGTGACAATGTTTTTGAACTATAAGATGATAGACAGTAAGACTGTCGTCACCCAAGTTCAGGAGTTGCAGGTCCATAATTCATGATCTCCTTGCCAAATGTATAATTTTATATAATACCTATGTTGAACATATTAAGTTTGTTATTAATACTCAGATAATCTTTAATGTAGGATTCTTTGTGAATGATGCTTTTCAAGTGGCGTCCAATATTGAGAAGTTACCTTCGCTGTAGAGGGACTTCAAAACCTACTTGAAACATAAACGCAAAGATATGACTATTGAAGATCTCATGGCAAGGCTAAGAATAAAAAAGGATAACAAGGCCACAAAAAATAGGTCACGTGGTAATTCAGTAATATCTGAAGCAAATGTTATTGAAGAAGATCCCACAAAGTCAAGGAAAAGAAAGAAAGCATCTGGATCGAAGAACAATCCTCCTAAGAAGTTCACTGGAAATTGCTTCAATTGTGAGAAACGTGGTCATATGACTATTGAATGTCGGGTTCCTAAGAAGGATCAAACAAATTTGGCTGAATCCAATGAAGAGATGGATGATCTCTGTGCAATACTTTCAGAATGTAACTTGGTTGGAAATCCAAGAGAATGGTGGATAGATTTTGGTGTCTCATGTCATGTTTGTGCCAACAAAGAATTATTTGCATCATATGCTCCATCCCCAAAAGACGAGAAGTTGTTTATGGCGAACGCCGCTGCTACAAAGGTGGAAGGAATTGACAAGATTTACTTAAAGACCTTGGGCAAGGTTATGACTTTGAATAGAGTCTTGTATGTTTCGAAATTGTGAAAGAACTTAGTTTCTATACCAGTTCTAACTAAGAACGAATTCAAATGTATATCTGTTTCTGACAATGTTGTAGTGAGTAAGAATGAAATGTATGTGGGAAAAGATTACCTCACTGAGGGCCTCTTCAAACTCAATGTAATTGCAGGTTATATGAATAAAGATTCTGCTTCTTAATTGCTTGAGTCAAAATATTTATGACATGAACGTTTGAGACATATCAATTACAAAACCTTGCAAAAACTGATTAACTTAAATGTTTTGCCTAACTTTGAGTGCAATAAATCAAAATGTCAAGTATATGTTGAATCTAAGTATGCTAAGAATCCTTATAAATCTATTGAAGGAATTCATACCCCTTAGAACTGATTCACACTGACATTTGTGACATGAAGTCAACACTATTTTGTGGTGGAAAAAAGTATTTCATAACTTTTATTGACAATTGCACTAGATACTGTTATGTCTATTTTTAAATGGTAAGGATGAAGCAATAAATTTATTTAGGCAATATAAAACTGAAGTTGAAAATCAGTTGGATAAAAAGATAAAAATAAAGAGGTGGAGAATATGAATCTCCATTTGCAAAAATATGTTTGGAAAATGGAACCATCCATCAAACTACTGCTCCTTACTCTCCTCAATCTAATGGAATTGCGGAAAGGAAAAACCAAACTTTAAAGAAAATGATGAATGCCTTACTTATAAGTTCAGGTTTACCATAAAACTTGTAGGGGAAAGCTATCCTTACAACAAATCGAATGCTCAATAGAGTGCCTAACAAAAAGACATATGTTATTCTATATGAGAAATGGAAAGGTAGAAAACCCAACTTGAAATATTTCAAAGTGTGGAGTGTCTAGCCAAAATCCAAGTTTCTATACCTAAGAGGGTCAAAATAGGATCCAAGACTGTGGACTGTGTATTCATTGGATATGCCACAAACAGTAATGCATGTTGATATTTGGTTCATAAGTCCAAACATCCGGATATACATGATAATACGGTAATTGAATCAGATAATGCTGAATTCTTTAAACATATCTATTCGTATAAAACTAGACTCGAGTTATGTAGTGGAGGGTCTAAACGACCTCAAGAAGAACCAAAAGAAAATGTACCTAATGAAGAGTGTCCAAGGCATAGTAAACGTCAAAGGACATCTACTTCATTTAGATCTGATTTTGTTACATTCCTTTTTGAAAATGAGACTCAAACATTCAAGGATGCTATGTTGTCTACAGACTCAACCTTTTGGAAAGAGGCTGTCAATAGTGAGATTGATTCAATCTTAATCAATCATACTTGAGAGTTGGTTGATCTTCCTCCAGGAAACAAACTTTTGGGTTCGAAATGGATTTTCGAAAGGAAAAT